TACAACCTGTTTTTCAAATCCGAATTATATAAATTCGGATTAATCCCGTAGTGTAGACATACCCTCAGAAACAGTAGCGATCTTTGAGAATCAATGGAGGAAGGGTGATGTCCCAGACAACAGGAAAAAGGCAAATGTATCTTTAAAACAGGTAACAAAGAGCACCCAGGGAAAATATAGCCAGTCAAACTAACTTTGATACCTGGAAAGATAGAGGAACAAATTATTAAACAATCATGTGGTAAACATTGAGAGGATAACAGAATGATAAATAATAGCCTAACTCCTTATGTGTGTCCAGGCCCATGTGGACAAATTGGAGAGAGTCCAGTAGAGAGCAACAAAAATTATAAATGATTTAGAAAACCTGAATTATGAGTAAAGGTTAAAAAAAAACTGGGTATTTTTAGTCTTAAGCAAAGGAGATTGAGCAAGAGCCTGATAACGGTCTTCAAATATTTTAAGGGTTGTTTTAAAGAGGACAGTGATCAGTTGTTCTTCATGTCCACTTAAGGTAGGACAAGTAGAAACAGGCTTAATCTGCAACAGTGGATGTTTAAGGTAGATATTAGGAGAAACTTTCTAACTAAAAGGATAGTAAAATATTGAAAAAGGTTTCCACGGTAGGTTGTGGATTCCCTGTAATTTAAGATTCTTAAGAACAGGTTAGACAAACACCTGTCAGGGATGGTCTTGGTAACTTGTTCCTGACTCAGTGTAGGGGGTTGGACTTCATGATTTCTTGAGGTCCCCTCCAGCCCTAAATTTCTGATTGTGCATTAGATAGCATCTGTACTTGCTGCTCTGGAGAGACTTTGGACTGCAGTGACTCTGAACCTGACTTAGGGGGTCATGATGGAGAGTAACTGAACATGAGCTCCCAGTAGGATGCTGTAGGTATGACAGCTAACATGAGCCATTGAAGTATAAGCAGGGGAATGTCAAGTAGGAATAGGGAGGTGGTAGTACTTCACTATACAGCATTAAGGAGACCATTACTGGATATTGTGTCAAAAAAGAGATGCTGACAAATTCGATGGGGTTTGGATAAGAGAATGATGGAAATCCTGTTTTGTAATGAGAGACTTAAGAAGCTCAATCTATTTAGCTTATCAAAGAGGAGGTTAAGAAGTGACCAGATCATAGTGAGGAGATTTCTGAGAGCAGAAGGTTCTTTAATTTAATAAACAAAAGCAGGAAGATGCCCAGTGGCTGGAAAATTTGTCTAGATAAATTCAGGTTGTAAATATGTTTAACAGTCATTATGGTAATTAATCACTGCATTATATTTCACAGGGATATGATGGACTTTCCATCATTTGAGGTCTTGAAATCAACACTGGATGCCCCGACTCCACCCCTGCCCTGCCCCCATTCCAACCCCTTCCCCAAAGTCCCTGCCCCTGTTAGACTGCTCCCCAAATCTCCGCCCCGACCCCGCCTCCTCCCCTGAGCGTGCCGCGTTCCCCCTTCTCCCCCTTCCTCCCTCCCAGCACTTGTCGCGCGAAACAGCTGTTTTGCGGCAGCAAGCGCTGGGAGCAAGGGGGAAAAAGCGGGCATGCGGCGTGCTCAGGGGAGGAGGCAGAGGCGGAGGTGAGCTGGGGCGGGGCAGGGAGCTGCAGGTGGGTGCAGATCACCCATCAGTTTTTCCCCGTGGGTGCTCCAACCCCGGACTACCCACGGAGTTGGTGCCTATGCCAGATACCTAGAGAAGGTAGCAACTCTGCTCTGCTTCCCAGGGGAGTAAGTTAGGGCCATTCCCTAGACAGAGTGGATGAACCCTTGCTCCAGATCAGTGCGTCATGTGATCTTGTATAATTTATAGCTCAGTCCCTGTAGGCTGCGGTTGGGAAAAGGAAGGATCCTTTCAGGGTAGGTTACTAATAGCCTCGCTCTGGAAGCAGTAACAGCACTGAGCTTAATGAACAAGATCAAACACTTGTTCCCTTGACCCCCTGTGCAGGATTTCCATTTTTCAAACCCAACCTGATCTCCCAGCTGGAATGAGGGCAGGAGCCATGGGTCCCCGACAAAGGCGCCGACTCCATGGGTGCTCCAGGGCTGGAGCATCCACGGAGAAAAATTAGCAGGTGCTTAGTACCCACCAGCAGCCAAGCTCCCCCCTCCTGCCCACGGGCAGCCCCGCCAATCAATTCCTCTCCCTCCCTTCCAGCGCCTCCTGAACACTGCGGAACAGCTGTTCTGCAGCATGCAGGAGGGAGGGGGGAGGCATGGGGGTGAGGCGGGCTCAGGGGAGGGGGCATAAAGAGGCATGGTGGGGGTGGAGCCGTGGGGGAAGGGCCTGGGGTGGGGCAGGAAGAGGTGGGTCAGGGTTGGGACCTTGGGGGAAGAGTGGAGTGGGGGCGGGGCTGGGGCTAAGTGGGGATTGAGCACCCCCAGGGAAAATCAGAAGTTGATGCCTACGGTTCCCAGTCTTCAGGGCTACAAGGAAAAGGGGATCTTAAAAGACACACATACAGGAGAGGAATTGATGAAACTGACTCAAAAACAATTTAGTTATATCCCCGTGGCAGACATCACTGATGAATTTTCACCAATCCTCAGCTATATTCAGATGGGATAGGAGGTTGAATTGGTCCCTTCCTCTCCCTCCTTTGAAATATAGTTACGGTGGATGGAGATTTTTTCTTCCTGATTTCTTTTAAGTCCCCAGTAATTAGTTAGTTTTTTTCCTCCCTTTGCTATTCTCTTCTTCCCCCTCAGCACAGTGGATGATTCCTGTCTGGATTCTCTTTCTATCCCAGCAGGTGATGGGACGGTGAGTGAGAAAAAGAAGGAAGATTCTGAGCAGGTGGGATCACAGGTGACATTATCAGGTAGAGCCACAGGGAAAGTTTTCCAGAGCACTGAACAGGGAGAAGCCCGTCAGAGTCAGCGCAGGCCAGAGAGGCAGCTGGGAAACCAAGCAGGGGAGATCCAGTGTGAATCCACTCACAGGAGCAGAGGGTTCAAAGAAACCAAACAGCCTGTAGTACAGAGAATCGCCTCTGGAGAGGAACTGAACTTATGCAGTGACTGTGGGAGAAGCTTCCTTTGGAAATCAGCCCTTATTACTCACCAGAGAATCCACACAGGAGAGAAACCCTATAAGTGTCTAGACTGTGAGAAAAGCTTCAGCCACAGCTCACACCTTATTTCACATCAGAGAACCCATACAGAGGAGAAACCGTATAGCTGCTCTGAGTGTGGAAAAAGCTTCAATCAGCAGTCCAATCTTCTTATACACCAGAGAATCCACACAGGAGAACGGCCCTATAAATGCCCTGACTGTGGGAAAAGCTTCAGTTACAACTCAGTCCTTATGACACATCAGAAAATGCACACTGGAGAGAAGCCCTATAAATGTCTTGACTGTAAGAAAATATTTAGCCAGCGCTCAGACCTCACTAAACATCAGAGAACCCATACGGGGGAGAGACCCTACAAATGCAATGAGTGTGGGAAAAGCTTTAGTCTGAGCTCCCACCTTATTTCACATCAAAAAACTCATAAGGGAGAGAAACCCTATATATGCTCCAACTGTGGGAAAAGCTTCAGTGACAGCTCAAACCTTATTACGCATCAGAGGATCCACACAGGAGAGAAGCCCTACAAATGCCCTGAGTGCAGGAAAAGCTTCGGTCGTCTCTCGCACCTTAATAGGCACCAGACAATCCACACAGGAGAGAGACCCTTTAAATGCTTGGACTGTGGGAACAGCTTTCGTGACAGCTCATCCCTCATCAGACATCAGAGAATCCACACACAAGAGAAACCCTAGAAGATGGGTGAAGTGAACAACAACATGGTTGATTCCCACGAATATCGGAGGGTCAGGTAAGACAGTACTGGCCATCTAATGAGGACATGCAATAGCTATTAAAGTAGATAATGAAATCACATTCCTAGAACAGAGTCATGCAGAGCAAGAGGCAGAGATAAGATTCCCATGTTGTGATGAGATTTGATTATTACGTCTCAAGAAGCTCTAAACGTCCTCTGATCAGCTCCTGCACTGAAGTTTGTTGATACAGACCTAGAACCATCTTTATCTTATGTGCTGTGACTTTGATTTATTCTTGATACTGTTTTAGTTAATTGATACATTCAGGAGCAGAGATGGACTCAAGTCAGAAATGCAATGATACTTGGGCTCTGGGCACTGAGTTGGGATGATGGTTTATTTGTGACTTTCTTGCTTTGAATGAAGAAGAGTAAAGTGGATCCCAGTTTCTCAAACTCTGAGACCTTTATCTGGAGATGTCAAGAATGTGAAGATGGGCCTCTGTGTAATGAAATGGGCCCTCTGGGAAAGTCTCTTTAAAGGTTTATTTTATATTGTATAATCTAGCTTGTATAATTACCCTGGAGTTCTGCTTTTTATTTCCTGTACTTACCATGAATTCATAGATCTAAAATGTCTAACTAGATGACTGAATTATTGATTATTACCAGTGGAGTTACATGCTTTCACTGTTATGGGTCTGCAGTTGTCCTTTCTGATATATGTATCCACTACAAAAGTCCTGTAATAAGGCGGTAAAATTCCTGACCCAATTACTTGTGCTCAATCCTTCTACATTTAGAATCTAGGTCTATTAAATACACTGTAGTTCCATTGAAATTAGTTTGATATTTCATTTTTAGACAACAGGCACTTAGCACAAAACTATCAAAAAGTTTACTTCAGAATCATGAGTGTAAATACACTGAAGCTAATTCCCTGGAATCTAAATA